GAAAAACTGAGTTGATCTAACTACAGTTTAAAGAATTTTTGAAACTGTTTTTTTCGTCGAAAAATTTATCCCTGGCCCCCCCTTCAAAGACAAGACGAAGAATAAACTCTTGGAAAATGCTGCTTGCATTCTCTTGATATCTGCTATTTTCCTACCTAATAATTTTACACAATTAGCAAGGTTTTTTTTATTATGTCCAAATGGTGATTTTATGCAATTTCTTTTTTGTCCGGTCCCTGAGGAAGAGCAGAGGTAAATTTTTCGACGAAAAAAGTTCCAAAAACTCTTTAAATTACAACATAGTTCAACTCAGTTTTTAGGCTGATTACAAATATTATACTTAATTTTGAGTCACATTGAACTTTTTCTCACAGAAATCTTTTCAATGTTGAATAAAAAGTCACACAACTGCTGTTGGAGAAGAGTGCTAAGGCATGTTTCAAGTGGTGAAAATTTTTTGACTTTGGAAAATATACGATTTTGTAGCTTTTTAAAAGAACTATCATTTGAGTGATGCGAGAATTTTTATCACTTCTATTTTTAAACTAAAATATTTCTCAAAGAATAAGAGTTGATGATAAATATAGTCGATATAGGATAGATTATGAAAATAATCCATTCTTTTATTGATAGCTTTTAGGTTTCGAAATCTGATCATAACATCATGAAAATAATATCAAAATGTTATTCTTAACATACTTGTTACATCGATATATGTTTCAATATAGTCAGGCAATAAAAACACTAGGGATAGGATTTAACCTCTTATATAGCTCGTTATTAATAGCAATGGTAGTTGTGTTATTTACGATAGTAATGATTCTTTTATCTGATCAGCATGTCTAAATAAAAGAAAAGATTTTTAATGTTAAATAAACACATCGTTCTCAACATGAGACAATTTATATTAATAGATGCGCATTTATACTAGGAAGGTATGATGAATGTATAGATAGAAAAAAGTTGAGTCGAGACTTGACAAAATGTATATGGTATCATTCTTACATATATGCTACATTCGTACTGTTCTGCAACAGTGAGCGAAGGCTCACAAGATCTTCGCCAAACAGCTAACGAAAGTCTTGTTAGCGAATTGTGGGATTCCTGTTCAATGTTTTTTATTGTTGCTGAAAACGGCACTACTACTTTTTCCACAAAAAATTATCATAAAATCTACTGTACTCGTTTCTTCATTTTTTGTTTGTTTGAGTTTCTAATAAAACCCGTAAGAAATGATCAATGACACGTTGATCATATATTTATTTAAATTAACAACGCTCGTATCATTTAATTCAAAGTTGAATAAAGATGTATTGAACAACATGAATTATATTCATTGTGAAATAGAGTATAGATTTATGAGAAGGGATGTGGATTTAATATTTCAGGAACTGAAAAAAACAACAACAAAAATGAATTTTTCAAAAATTTCTTTAACTGAATGACTTCTCTGATGGAACAAAATTCATCATATAAAATGTGCCTCGATTCCTTTTATAAAAAGCCATTTTCAATGACAATGCATGTCAATAGTCTTTACAGTCGCATTTTTTTTGCAATGTGACTTGTAGTCTGTACGAACGAGGGAACCTCACAATGCAATAAAGCACTTTAAATATGAGTGCTACTTCTTTCGATAGGCATTACTGTGATTAGAAAAATTCTTAAAGAGTTTGTACACGTGAATCGATCTTGTTGAGTTATAATCATTTTTTTAATGAATTTTTCAACAAAATGACATAGCCTTTGTTCTGATCATGTTCAAAATCGACCGACAAACTTTGTACCTTTAAAGTTCTCAATCGGAATAATGCATTATGAAGTTTTTCAGACTTTCTAATATCTCCTATCTTGAGATATAAATATAAGAACAAAGTTCAATTTTTCGTATAAAAGTTTTGAGTATTTGAATCCAAGAGTAAGAGATGTTATTCAACCAAACTTTGAAAAGCATACAGCGGATGCAGCGAACAATCAAAAATAGTGTTCTGTCGAGTGCTCATTTCCACTTTACCGAAGTTTTGTGTATACGACAAGAGAAACCTATCGAAAACACCAATTATTCACTCCTCAGACGCATGTCAACTACTCGACGCTTATCGAAGCTTTGACTAATTAACGAAAAAGAGCATATCAAAGGAATACTTTCGAATGCCTCAGGAGAGACAAATCTAGCATAATGATAGCTTCGACTGGTGAGTATAGTTTTTGACTACGCGAATCTTCTCTAATAAATGATTTTGAAATGTCTTTTACTCTTATTCAACGATCGTAGTAGTATTATTTATGTTCGGCATAAATTTCATCTTAATTACATAATTTTCTAAGTGATATTTAACATCGATTGCAGAATACGAAAACCGAAACTCATCGGTGTTCCTGACGAATACACAATCATAACGAATTTTTGATTTCTGAACTTTTGGTAAAATTTCTACATATTGATTTTACACTTAATTACACTACTCAGTTAGCTATCAAATATACTCTTTGTATAGAATCTGAAATTCTATAGAAACTTTTCCTTTTTGTTAGAGACATGGAAAAGTTTTTATTAAAATACAAAATTTTTGGATTTTTAAAAATTAATAGCAAATGTTAATATAACAAACAAAATCGTCAAAGTATTATGTTTTTTGACGAATTAAAAATATGACTTTCATAGAAGAATTCTAGTTCTTATTTACGTCAGATGCTCGACAAAACTGAATCGTAAGTGTCCATATTAAAATCTCCTCCTTCGCATGTATTCAGTCGGTTGCAGTGGCTTGAGAATGAGACATCCTATCGAACAAGATCCTTTTGTTTATTTTTGATCAAATTTCGATTTCCTCAAAAAATGTACTTTGAAGTAACCAAACACCGCATTTTTTACCTATCAGAAAATGACAATCCGAGGGATCAATATACATCATTTCAATGCCTATAAAAAGCTGCTATCTTGACGTGTCGAAATGGCCGATTGAGTAGAATGTTGGAACTCTCCCAATAAACTAGTGCTATTAAAAATTTTATTTATGTAAAGTTTGAAATCGAAACACGATTTTGAAAGTGATAAGAGAGGGAGAATGGCATTTTGCTAAAAAATTCACTAATATCATAAGAATTCAAGAAGAACTATCGTTGGATATAAATCGTTTTAGAATATCTCTGGTCTCAATACAATCTATTTAATGAAGTAAGATTCATATTAAAAACCGTTTATCATTAGGCATGGTTTTCTTTGTAAATTATACAGAAATCTTGATTGTTGAGAAGAAATGATCCCTAATATTTTTATCTTTTATTAGCCATATACACTTACAAAAATCAGTAAAAACTTCTTTGTACATATTGTACGAAGATTGTCTCATTTTTTGTCAACACTATTTTCTAATTTTATTCTTCTAAATTGCTTTTAGACTTGGCAAAAAAAATTTTCGAAAAACTTCACAATTGAAAAAATATTCTGTACACGACATGGATTACTTAAATAAAATAATCCTATTTGACTGACAATATATAAAATCTTCATTGAATAGTCTTTAAGCTATTTGCTTTATTTTTTATTATTTCAATAGATTGTTATTTATTATAATATTGAATTTCAGTAAAATGTAGAAGCACTTTTAAGAAGATAATTAACAGACTGTTTGTGTACCATTGTTGACTCAACCATCGATCGATTAAGAAAGAAAAAAAAAAGTTTGACATATATTTATCTTCTTCAGATTTTATTAGAGATGTTTGTCAACTGCTTGTTCACAATAATAGAAATACATCTATTTATTTAAGTAGAAAAATAGAATATGAAATGAACTAAAGATGGTTTAAAAAAGATTGAATTTGATTGGTAAGTTTAAACCAATTGCATCTCTGTTTATAAATGACTTATTTTAGTCGGTCGGATATTTTATGTTCTGTTTTCAGTCACAAAAAAAAAAAAAAAAAGAAAAGAACTATAATATATTGAGTCATTCTTTTCTTTTGCATTGCTTTTTATCAATGATTTAGATGCAATAATACAAAAATTGAAGATAAACTACACAATACATTTTACAAAAGATAAATTGACTCACTTCTTTTTTTGTCTATGTTAGCAGAAGACTATTTGCTCAAGGTAACGTGACATTTTGCCTCTATTAACAAGTCTGATCGGCCGCTGTTCAATAGTAACATATATACATAGACGTATATGTATGTTAGTGATCACCAGCTGTTGTGTAAAGAGCTCATACCATTAGCCTTGTTAGAATACTTTTTTTTTCTTTTTCATCGTTCTGTCTTATATCACTTGTTTGACAAATAGAACACACATTCAACTGCATTTTCGTATCAATCTTTGACGAAAAAAAAACCCAGTAAGCTAATATTAGAATAAAAACTCAACGCTTAATTTCTTGTGAGTGATATATGATTATTTTCTTTTTTACTTTTTACTATTTTCATATAAACTATAAATCAGCATTTCTAATGAAAAACGAAAATAAAAAAATATCTTTTCATATTTCGTTCATAGTCTTCTTTTTGAAGCAGAATGTGTTAAAAAATACGATGAGAAATCTATATAAAAAAATGTATTAAAGCACAAAGGGAAAAAATCATTTGTTTTTTATTTCACAAGAACACTTAACAATAATCAAAATAGATGACGGAAGCGAAAAATACATTTTTGTTTTGTTTTTCTTGATATAATCAAAAGAGAGATTCGAGAATAAAAGAAAAAATTAATGAGTTCTATTTAAGAAATAGAATAAATTAAATTTACGCTTTTTCTGTTAAAAAACACATGAAATCATCTTGAAAATAAAGTATTATCTTATTCAACGAAGTGTACTACATGCATTGTGCTGTTCTATGCGAACATATAAAACAGTATGTATATCGAAAGTAGCAAATTTTCTATACATTTTGCTTCTGCTTCATACAAATGCTATTAGAAATACTTCTATAAATAATTTTTGCTGTTTTTTTTTTATAGATTTTGATTATTTTTCATATTGATTTTGAACGTATAAAAAATGGATTACGGTACTCGACCACAACGAATCTCTTGTCAATATGGTTACATTCGTACAATATCAGGCATATTGAAAACGATTGAATTTGTAAAAATATATGCACTTTGCTTTGCTAAGAAAGAAAAAACAAATTGTTTTTTTTATTAATTTTAGGTTTGTGATGCAGTTGCCTTAATATTGGGTGCAGCAGCACCAAGTATGGTTTTTAGTGGTCATAAAGGTTTTTTTACATTTGTTGCTGCATTAGCAATTGTTATAACAGCAATTCTTTTCGTATTGGCATTATTAAATATACAAACTGTTTGTATTCCAGATCGTTGGCTTGTTATTGTAGGTTATTTTTAACGAAAAATATGAAATTAATTTATTAAATTTAAATTTAAATTTAGGAAATGTTTTGGTGTGCATTAATTGCTTTACTTTTTTTTATTGCAAGTATTGTTGTTGCGACAATTGCAAAACATAATGGTGTTTATGGAGCTGCAGCGGTAAATGATTAGTTGAAAAGAGAAAAAAATCTTTTTTTTTAAGTTTTGTTTTTTTTTAGTTCTTTGGTTTTGCAGCTTTTGTTACTTATGTAGCTGATGCAATTAATCGCTTTCGATTACTTCGAGCTGGTCCACGTAGTCAACATACGGAAACATATATATCAAATACAACAACAACAGTTACTCGTCAACAGCCAACTTATTAAAAAGAAATGATCTGATTTTAATGAAAGTATTTTAATGATCAACTGATAAGAAATTTTTATGATCTGATTGCATCTGTTTTTTTTCCTTTTTACATTCCAACGGCAATGTTTCACATATGTGGGTTTTTTGCGGTAATGATAGTCATAATGATCTGAATTTAAAGTGCAAATTTGTACATACATATACACGCTTATATTTACAAATTTTTGAGAATGAAAATCAATGATGTTGTTTTGTTTGTGTTATTGGTAATCTTCTTTTTACATTTATGACAATAAAAAAGAACTCCTTACAACTATTCAATATTGACATGCATAGAAGAGACTGAAAATATGTTAAAAGTATTTTGACTTATTAATCTTGAAATACTATTCTATGCAATTAAGAAATTTAGAAATTATCTTTTCCATTAACGATAGTATCATTCATCATTTGTGACAAAAAATTATGCAAGTAACTTCAACAAATTCTTTTCGGACGAGGTTGAGATAATTATCATCGACTTATTGAGTATTTGGCACAACTTAAATAATTATTATGCGCAAAGGTGAAGGACAGAAGTCTGTTGGGTCTAAGTCTGAAAATTTTCCATTGACCAGCTCCGAGATTAGGATCGATCCAATAGGTCATACTCTAAAAGTAACAGTCAATTATGACTTGATTATTATAAGATCAAGATATTAATGAATAGTTACTGCAATATGTAGGGTACGTGAGTGTTTGTTCGATAAAGACGTTTTTTCTTTTATCTCAAAACAATTCCAGCGATGGATAGAGGACGTACGCTTTTATAATTAGAAAAACTTGCTAATCTACATAGAATTGGGATCATATATAGAAAGCTGTACATAATATAAGGAAAGTTTTTTTTTTTTTGAATAGTAATTATCAAGTGTTATGAGAAAAATTATATACATGTAATAAATAGTCTTGAAAGTAGTCTGAATCTAAAAATAAAATATTAATATCCGTTAGACAAAAAGTTGACTTTTGTAAAAGAGAATTAAATATTTTTGATTGACATTGATTAGCTCAATGGATATTTTTTTGTTATTAATAAAGTAATACTCATGATACAAGAGCAAGACTCATCAATTTTGTCCTTAGGTAAGAAGAATTTTAATCTAAGTCAGAGCAAGGTTTCATCATAATTTATAGTAGTAATTCAATATTAATTGTGGGTGTAGAATGGGTGTGTCGGAGAGGTCGTCGAAGGTGTGTATGCGTAATAAGAAGACACTCATTAATGTCCTTATTTCAAAGTCGTTTTTATTTGTACAGCATTCCTATATATTTGATTTTTGTATATAAATAGTCTTGCGTCTCGATTAGTTTGTTTCCATTCGATATTTGATTTCATATTACATTAACAATTTGATGACGTGTTGCAATTCAAGAAAAACCAGCCTATGACACATATGTAGTAACGATGGTGTCTAGTGAACTCTATAAATTGCAGTAAGTTAAAAGTGAAACTAAATGTATAAGTTTTCTTAAAATTGCGATGAGTAAATTTTCAAGAAATTAAAAACTGAAAATCTCAAACTTTGGATTCTTTTTTATGTAAATGAATAAGTATCATTAAAACTGACTTAAACAATTTTTGAGTTTCAATTTTATGATCACAAATGAGTAGACACGATAAGGTTCTTATTAAGATAGTCTGAGAAATGTACAGAGTGTGCTAGTAACCAGAATACGAACAATCGATAAAAAATATTTGACACATTCAGAGTGATTATCAGTTTACAAACGAAATACTCTCACTGATAAATCGCTTTTTAGTAGAGACTATATGCATTGCAAAGTTTTCAGTCAAAATTCGTTTTTCTGGACTACGGTATTGATTTAAAAAATATCATACAAGTGTAGTATCTTTGCAGTAATAAGATAAGGGCATGAACTCTTTTCAAGATATTCATAAATCAATTGAATCTACATAATGCACATAGTTGAGACTCAAAAGCGACTTTTCAGCTGAAGGACTTTCCTCGTTAGACCAAAAGAATTCGTTGAAATAAAGAGTACAGTTCAGGTTCTAATCTCAAAAAGCTTGATCAGCCAGGTCCAGGTCCAAAATTTTGTTCCCGACAAGTTGTAGTATAGAACTTGCAGAAATTTGCAAGTTTTCTTTATGAAATATTGTTCTCTGAATTAAAAAGTTTTCGTTCAACATTGTTGGTATACATGGGTACATTCTATATACAAGATGAGTTATAAATAGCTAAAGAAAAAAGATTGAAATATTTTCGCTTCAGTTTACTTGAATGAGCTGATTTTTGGGTTAGTGCCAGAAGCTTCTTTAACACTTGTTTTATACGAATAACATAAATAAACATTTCTGTCAAATTATATTTTTAGCCTTAATGAAGAATTTTCACCTATTGTCAAGTAAGAAAAATACATATAAAACGTTCGACATGGTGATATTTTATTTTCTATCATCGTACTATGTATGACCCATTATGTATCTGATTATTCGCATGAAAAATATTTTCTTTTATTCAAACTCTTGTCATATTCGTTTATTCTTACATCTATCAGCATAATTGTCAACAGAATGTATATATTTCCTTGAGATATAATATGAAATTATGTGTAGATCGATGAACTGTTTTTTTTTCTGTTATTAATTGTTTTCTTGTATATAAATAGCAAATCGTTTTGTTATGTATTCAGAATTACAAACGAAAATTTAATAGCTTTATTCATATGTAGTACAATGTATTATTTATGCAAACCTCCTGCAGGCAGTGACATTTTTCTCTGTAAGAAAAATCTATTTATTATCAATTTAGCATAAGAAACTTTTCCTTGAGAACCTTTTTGTATGCATAAGTGACAAATACCACATGCCTTGTATGTACTGGTTAATTGAAGAATAATACATTAGAACCAGATATATAGAATTCTTTCAGCTGGTTCTATCATATCAAGTCGACAGCAATACTAATAATAACATTTATTCTCAAGTTTTCTTATTATCATAACGTCTTAGTGTTTATTTCATCACAGTTTTAATATTAGACATACAAAATAGTTGTAATATTACTAGAAATCTTGACGAAATAATGTCAAGTCCATCTCAAATACAACTTACAGCAACTGGATCACTTGGTTCACTTGAATATGGAAAATCATTTATAAGTGAACCACGTGGTATAGCTTATCGAGCATCAGATTCTTTATTATTTATTGCGGATTCAAAAAATGAACGTGTTGTTGCATTTACAGAAGATAATAAATTAGCTAAAATTATAAGTAATTATGGATGTAAAAATGGTTTAGCTATTATGAATAATGATCAAGTTGCAATGAGTGATGAATTACAAGTATTAATATTAAATAAAGATCTTCGTTTGATACGTACAATAGCTTGTGATGATGTTGATGCTGGTTTAACAAATTATCAAGGTATTTGTGTCGATAAAAATGATTTAATTTATGTATGTGATCAAACTAATCGACAAGTTAAAGTTTATGATCCAAAAACAGGAAATATTATACGATTTTTTGGTAATAAAAATTTATTTAGTTCTCTTGCTTATTGTGTATCAACAAATGAACATATTTATGTGACAGATCCACAAGGTAATATTCATTTATTCATGAGATTTTTTATATTTGTTATTATTATTTAGGTTCATGTGTTCATAAATTTACACTTGATGGAATATTTGTTCAACGTTTTGGTAGTGAAACATCACCGAATTTTCCTCAAGCACTTTCAAGTCCTCGTGGTATAACTGTATTTCCAAATACACGTCATTTATTAGTCGCTGATTCACATAATGATCGTTTAGTAGTTTTTAATGAAAATGGACAATTTCAACAATTAATTACAAGTGGTATTGAATATCCGGAATCATTAGCAATTAATAAAAAAGGAGATATTTTTGTTGCTATGAATGATCGTATTGGTGTATTTACTCGACAAAAATAATAAGACTAACTTTATTTGCCCCACTTTTGAAGCATATTATTCGATTTATGATTGAAATTTAATTACAAAAATAAATAAACTATTACTCTCGAAACGAATTTGTATTTTCAGTGTATCATTGCAATCTGGAATAGCAATGAATTTCATTACTTCTTATAATCAACCTTGAGCAGACAAAGAAATAACTAACTACTTAGTTTAATAAGTGTAATTAGTGTGAACTGGGCTTTTCTATGTAATAGTTCGTGAAAACATTCGGTTCAAACAACTATATAGGTCAGAGAATATGTACTTCTTTGCAATCATCTGCAGATTCCACAGTAGTTATGTGAGGTTTTCATCGCATTTGTTGTTTGTGTCTGAATATATTATTTTGCAACGACTGAATAACGATACATAGGACAAAAAGATAAGAGGAATAATCCATGTGATGAAAAGTTACATAAATTATGTAAATAACAGAAAAAAACAATAGAATAACATGAAAGCAGTTACAGATTTAGGGAGTGGTAAAATGGCGGTTGTATTCTATAAGTGAAATTTTTTCTTTTATTCTTTGTCACCAGATGCAAAAACAAGAAGTTATATTATCTCAAATAGACTTCAGAAACTGTCTTTTGATCATAATTGTCACTTGCTTCGATAAACCGCCATCATATTGCTGGGTTTTGAATCCACCACTGCACGAAAGAGGTACCTAGCATTCTTATTTACTTTTATTTTATTTAATTTGATATTGTTAAATGTTAGACTAGCTATCACTATTATCGTCTGGTTTGTCTTATATCAATATCAAAGAATCCTTGAACAAGAAGAAGAAAATAGTCTAGCTTGTTTGTTATGTTTTTACTTGTATGTTAAGTCATTTGTTTTGATATTAATGTCAGATGAAGTATCTCATCGAGATATGAAACGTCATTTGTATATCGTAAATCACTTATTAAGATCAAATTACATGAAAAAGAGTAGTTAATAATGTCAAATATCAATTCAATATCCTTATCAACATAAGAACATGAAAGAAAAAAACAACAGACCGAAAATAAAATTCATGATGCATATCTAAGAGAAAACAAACAAAAATAGAAAGAAGAAAAACATACACACATAAGTATAATTATGTTAAGAAACAAGAAAACTCTTGTGACCGTATGTGAAGAAGATACAGATCATAGCAGACAACTATCTGTTTAAATTATTCCATCTCCTATGAATCGTTTGTTTCACATGAATTCTAGTGTCTGAAATTTCATTATTCTTTATTATCTTAACTTATTAATTCTATTGCTGTTTGAATATTATCGATAGAAGTTCGTGTGTGCTTACTTTGCTAGTTCATTGTTTGTTATTGCAACGTTACACCTTGCAGAAGAAAAAGAAATTCAATTATCATGATTTATGGAGCTATGCTCATTTAAAAATCTAGTTCATTGATGTAGATAATGAGAAAAAAGAACACTTATTAATGATAAAAGACCAGAATATCGTATCAAACTATTTCGTAGCATAGAATTACATGAATTAAGTTACAAAAAGAACATGTTGAAAACGAAACTATTTAAATGTTAGGATTGAATTTCTTTTTTCTTTATATTGATTTATAAACGCTAATAAGGAAGCGATGTTGATCGATATGGAAAATTTGTTGGTGAAAAGCCGGAAGAAGGATAAACTGGACCACAAATTCTACCATATGGAAAATAAGAATATGGCTGTGCTTATCGATCTAGTCGGTTGCCTATTGGCATGTAGAAAAATGAATACTATGTTGGATCTCACATAAGAAAATATCAATTGTTTTTTTATGATAAAATCAGCGAAAATAGGAGATGATCATCTTCGATTTGAGTTTAATTCTTTATAAGAGTTATTATTTAAATAAATTCTTTTCCCATAACTAAACGTAACAATATTTGTTCTTTCAGCTCACATCTAATTAAACTTAATAAGCGAGTTGATTGAAGAGTAATTAGCCGATAAAATAGATTTCAAATCGCAAACCCGTCTATGATGAAGTTTTCAGCAAGACCGAACTTCGAAAAGTTACCTCTTCAAGACGGATTGTTTAGAGGTCTGTTATTGTCCTAGAACGAGACTTTTTGTTTTACAATCATCTTGCAATCCCCAAGAAGGATTTATGTCATTTGGCATTGGTTTTTGGACTTCTTATTCAGTCACAAAACGATTTTTCGCTTCTACATTAATACTCACTCATGTGGTTAACAACGAATAAACGCATTTGTTTGAAAAACCTAAGCATGTTCAAAAAAAACTTCGCATAGTAATTTTGTAGTCTAAAGAGTCTTCTACAAAAGGCACTATTTATTTTTGAGAAATACTGCTTGAACTTACAGGGTTTATGAATGAAAACGCTCGCAGTGAAAACTTTTGTCTTTTTTTGTATTATGTCGCTGACGTCAGTTTTTCAATAATAACTTGACGGAACTAAGGTCTATATGAGTGAATTTTTCGTGATATCTAGAGTAACTCAACATACATCTGTTATGCAAAAATTAGCTGAAAAAAGTGACTAAGTTCAGAGATATAAACATTTTTATTTTGTGACATAATGGCGCTCACAAATGAGATCGTCTATATATATAAAAGATAGGGAGTATATATCATTTTATTTCTTATAGCCTGCGTAAATGTAATTCTTTCATTATGCGTATTTTATAATTTGTCTGGCTAATTAGAGTATACTTATAAATAAAGGAAGTGGCTATGTACACTCAGGTACACATAGGCAACTGGCTATGTACACGAGTGTACATAGCCACTTCCATAAATAAAATTACTCATAATAATAATACTTAAGTAATTATAGTCTTGTATGCCCATAGCTTACGATTAGGAGGGAGAAGCAGGGTGATTCCTCCTCCTAAATTTTTTCTTACATTCTACCTGTCTCCCAGGAAAGTTTCTGTTATGAAGAGCTAATGGTTTTTAATCTTTCGGTGGATCCGATTGGCTATGCACAAGCAAAGTTCTGTTTCCAATTATTTAAAGAGAACAAGCTATTTTCTTTCAAAGAGAAACTGAAGCAGGCCAAAGAGAAAAAAAAACTAGGCTGCCACTCGAGCAAAGCTCGAATAGACAAGGCGACTCACTGCACGAGTCCGAAAAATGCCAGAGGATGACTGCATACGATATCTGCTATTTCAAAATCTTAGACTCGGATAGAGAAAATCATTATGAATTTAAGTCTCTTTCTGATATCTTGACTCAACTGANAACATTGAATAATAAGTTCATAATCAATAAATTGTGATAATGAATCTTGATATTTAGATGAAAGTGTGACACAAGCTATGATTGTTAATAAATCAATAGAATAGTTTTGAATGATTAGTTTTTTGACTAAGACAATCGACATCCATATAGCAGATGATGAAATATGAAGAAGTGAATGTAACTTAAAATAGAAAATTTTTTGTTATGAAGATTTTGAATAAAGATAAAAATCTTACTTGATGTAATATTTGTAGAATATGTGGATAGAGTTCAGTTTTAAGAAGTTGATTTTAATTATGTTGATCTTCTTCTGAGAGTAGAGTAGCAAGAAGATGACTATTAGCTGAAGAAAGGTCAGGATCACATGCAACTTGAATATATTCATCTTGAGTAGTAAGTAGTAAAAAATTAGCATTTGTTTTATATGATTTTAGTCGAATAATGAAGCGAGAATGTTTTGTATTGTATGTGGATAATTATCTTTTTTTCGTTCTCAACTTATACTTTTTCTTTTCTTCTGTTCTGTTCTCTCTTTTTGATTTTGTTTTCCTTTTTAACCTCTAATCATCCATGCAGTCCATAGTGTACTAGCCCATCGTATCGGTACTAATTAAGCATGGATCTAACGTTTCGAGATAATATTTCTACGACCGACTAAAATTGGTTTCAAGTCAGAAATTACTACTCTTTTTGAACCTACGTCAGACTTCACTTCTATAATGGTTTGATCTCCTGTCAATTTTTTAAAGCTTTATGGTAACTTTGGACAGTAACGAGATTTTGAAATATCATTTGATTTTCTCTGACAGAAAGTGAAATAAAACATAGACAGACAATGTCGTTGCGAGATACATAGGATTAGACGGAAAACGACTTGGTAGCACGTCTTCTGTTGTTGTTGGAAGGATCGAGGTCCGATGGGTTTCGTTCTATCCCTGTCTACCAAATATTATTGGCAGCCTTGATCTAGGTTCAGAGTTTTTATTAGACACGTTTTGGGTGTTATAAACAGATCTTTGAAAAGCATAAAAATTGAATTTGGACGAAGGCAATTCCAACTCAAAAGTTGATAGACAAAAAATGCGATCGTGTCCTGTTTGAAATTATTTTCATAATGTTTTTCAGCAATTTGGTATTTCTAGCACAGAGATGTTGATTTTGTTTGAGCTTCATTTCCTTTCGTTTGACGATGTATTCTAATAGCGATTTTTCTTGCACAGTATGATGATCGAGACCATACTTCATAAAGTGCATTAAGGACCACGGTTCTCGAAGAAATTCTCCACGAATCACCGAGTGCATTTTGTGAGCCTGAAAAAGAAGGAATCGCCAAAATGTCATTTTGGTTCATGTCAAAACATTCATCGTTGCTGATGCCTTACGAAAAATTAATTATCAAGATATTATTTCATAGAAAAATGTTTGCGTTTTTTGGTGTTCTGAAACCCTTTCAAACTTTATTTTTCAGCCTTTCATAGATTTTTTCATAATTTCTAAAATATTTTAATCGTCTTTATTGCTCGAAAAATGAACGAACATTTCGACTCGCAACTTTTCAAGATTAAATCATGTTCGATGAACTTTACAGAGCAAAACGAACGTTTCAATTCATAAAACATTGCATTCATCTTGACTTTTGTTTTCAAAAAAAAAAGAAAAAAAACATGTTGACATTTGTTGTTTGATTTCTAACGTTCTCGTATATGTGTACGTTCAATGTGATCATCAAAGCGTTACATTTTACATTGATCTGACATGATACTATTCGTGATATACATTTTCTTTTCTTTTTTTCATATTAAAATGAAACGCGTGCCGTCTCTCAATGATCATGATGACATATCGTATTTGTGTCGCTGTTAATATTCATGTTCATCTAATTCATATATGTCAAAAAGCAAATCATCATTCATCATCTTTATTTGATCTTATTGAACAATCTGTTTAAAGGCAAAAATCAAAATCCAAATAAGAAATTTATTCTAAAGTCTAAGCGTAAAACGAAAAATTCTCAGGGTAGATAAAGTTTAGAAAAAAGCAACATCTTTTTTTTTAACAATGCTCGTTGAGTATTGTAATGAAAAAAAAGTAACATAAAAAAAAACAAGAATCAGATCCCTGTAGAAATTTTCTCTAACCGGACATTTAAGCTCTAATTAAATCATAGATTGATTTGATAGCACAACCCATCATTGTAAACAATCCAAAATAACCAAATGAACCATAACGACGTTTTTCAGGTTGACCCGTTGAATAACCCTTATAAAATTAAATAAAAGCTTTCAAAAAAAAAACAGAATAGTCGGTTTATATCACATACTTGAAAAAAGACTATTCGTCCAACTAACCAAATAACACCGCCAATTGATGAAATGACTGGATATCTTATTGAACCTAAACCCAACATGAGAAGAAATTCAGGATAAACTTCTAATGTATTTTGATGTCCACGTTGTATGCCTAAATAAAAATAACAATAATTTAATACATTTAAATGCGATTAAATATTAAACTTACAATTAAATTTTTTGCCTTGAGGATCTGAATCATTGGAGTAAAGTTTTGGATATTCTACATTAAATCTAAATAAAAGGAAATGAACATAATTCATTTGTACGAATTTTATGCAACGAAGACTTTTAGCGAATGAGAAGAATAATACTGATGTCTAATATGAGTTCTTTGAAATTGAACTTTTTAGCTGAATGTGTGAGAATAACTAAAAGATCGAATAAAAAAATAAATACAACAATTTCTATATTATCATTGATCCTAACTACATTTACTTTTGTCTGAATAATATCAAGTATGAAAATTGATCTTCTACTATATATAATAATCTTAGTTGACACTATTTTCCTCGAATTATAATGTAATTTTCAAGATCTTTTTTGTCCAAATCCGATTAGTCATTTAAAAGAATAATCGATTGTAATTACTTAAAGCTGATTAATCAATCGAATATACAAAGGAGGTATGAAGATAGTGATTGTCTATTTCCTGTTTGGGTCTGATATAGATTGTATTCTAATACAAATAAATACAAAATTACTTCTTAATTTATTGAAATTATCCTATTATACCAATAATACTAATTTTAATGTTATCAAATATAACTAATGTCTATATGCTTTATTCATTTCAATTGAAAAATTCTTCAATCTATAACTAAATATCAGGAAATAAATCTGAATAGAATGTAAACAATGTTTACAAAAGAAAATCAAACTTGAGAATGAAAAATCATCTAAAATTTACCGTTTACGAGCTTTCATTACATTAACACCCATATATTGTAAAACAAACCATGATGATACTGCTACACCAGCTGCAAAACCATGTTCTCGTGATAGAGCGAAAGTGACAAATTTAGGACCACTAATATTAACATTCATCTTTCGATTTTTACAGGGTGTAAAACAAGTAAAATCTAGAAAAAAAGTAAACTAAAATTGATTCGCTTGTTTTACTATTATTATTATTTTTCTTCTCGTCTATCGTTTTTCCACATGCTAATAATGTTATACCAAAGAATGAGTGCAAAACAAAAATACGTCTTCGAAAAGCACATAGACATCAAGGGAAGCCCATACAATTATGGTAAAATGGCGACGAAGACGACGATGATGACGAATACAAAGAATATAAGAAAAAAAAAAAGAAAAAGTATCGAAGAGGGGCGAAGGGTAAAGAGAAATGGAAGTTTGTACCATCCTGATTCATCGCTTTTATGATAAGATATATCGGAATAGATGTATTTATTTTCACAAGAACTTCAATAAAATTATAAAAAAAAAGTGGAAAAAAAGATGTACGCGAATGTTAAACCAATTTTTTTAAAACTCTCTACCCCAGAGAGAACGTAAAATTCGAGCATCAGTACTTGACAATTGTGGTCCGAATAATGGTTTCCATTGATGAAGATAAAAGCATAACCAACTAGAATATTAGAAAAAAATAGATTAGTCTTTTTTGTACGACCAAAAAAAAACAAGAAACATTATTTAACATACAATAGATAACAACAAGCCGATGTTAAAACTAGCATGATTTGAATAAGACTAAAAGAAAATTTTAATTTAAAAACAAAATTACTTAATATATTAAAATGTTTACCGTTTATTAGGTCCTTTGGGAATAAGAAATGGTAAAACAACTCCAATTAAACCCCAAAAGGCGGTAAATACAATAATAGCAATACCAAATTTTTCCATTCTTAAGGAAAAAACTAATAATCTAGAAGAAAACTATTTGAAACTAGCTCAATACACACATTGATGGATAAAATCATCTACTTAGACAAGAGAGAAATTATATTTAAAAACAAATAAAAGAAAAAATACATAGAAATATGACGTAAACATATTGCAAAAAAAAAATAGCAAATGATAATAGGACTAGAAATCATTATGCGACATGAATGAATTTTGTTTTCTTGTCGAAATCTTCTATTGAATGTATTCGACGGTTAGGAATGCTAGACTAATTAAAATCTTACAAAAATAAAATTGAGATTTTCATATAAGTAATAAAATCAATGACATACACAAATTTATAAATCACAATAAAAAACACAAATCATTTGACTAGAAATTTCATATTTGTATATATGTATATCTTTGATCATTCTCTGGAAAAACAAAAGTACTTTCCACAACGACAACAAAAAAAAAAAAGAAGGAGACATCAAATTAATATGCACAGCTAAAAACATCATCATAAAATAAATATCAAGAAAAATAGTTCTTATTACACGAACAAACGACACTGATAAAGGTAACAGATAAGAATACGAAAAAGAGAAAAAAAATACACATTCTTCATATGTTTATTTTTAAAATGCATAGACATTCATTACAACAAAAATATTTTTATTTAAATCATTCCAGCAACTTCTTCCAATTGACCGAGAAAACGTGCAACACGTGATTGATCATCTGCTTGTCGTGCAACTTCAATAAGATCAAGTAATGCTTTAACACCAATGCATACTCTATAAATTAAAAAAAGAATATCTCTTAAATATTAATAAAAGAAAAAGAAAAACCGAAATCTTTACTTTTTATCATGTAATTTTTTTTCTAAATATCTCATTTCTTCTTCATTAAAACAATGTTCAATTTCATTTAATACATGAAGAATATGTTGGCCACTACTCATATTTGATATATGAATTACTTTTGAAAATGATGCTAATAAACCAAGTTGATCAAGAATATCACGATATGTTGTTGTAGCAATAATTAATAATTTTCGACCTTTTGGTGGTAAACGTTTAAATAATAATTTTAATGTTTGTAAAACATTATTTGAATAACGTGGACCAACAGGTGCATATTCAAGTAAAGTTTCTAATTCATCAACAACAACACCTATTTAATGACACAAAAAAAGAAAAACATATATATTTGATAATTAAATTTCTTTTTTTTTTCTTTGTCGTTCAATTTACATGATAAACTTGATTTATGTGCATCTTCAAAAATTTTTTTTAATTGTTGACATTTAGCTAATTCAGAAAAACCAAGCATTGTTTGTGCTGTACAAAATTTTAAATATGGAAATTTTGATAGAAGTGCAATATGAGCAGCTAATGCTGTTTTGCCACTATTTGGTGGACCTATGGAAAAAAATAAGAAAGTTATAATTTTATAGAGCAAAATAATTAAGAAAAATCTAAAATAACCTTTTCAAATAAGGATGATATTATAAATGCTTCAATGATTATGAATCTCTGGTTTTAATTATATATTCTATATTTAACATCCGACGATTCCATAAGGATTCTATGACGATAATAGACTTTCAATTTTCCAAATACTTAGTGATAAAAGAAAGTCAACTCTCATCTTTGATTCATCATTTACTTAATAATATTAACATGCTCGTGAAATCTTGAGTAACGATTGAATAAAAAACTATTCTTGTTTATTCTTAATTATGATAATTTTTTATAGTAGAAGTTCGAGCTAGAATTTCACCTATATAAATAAATCGTATGATACATTTAATTTTTTGGAACCTCAATTCGTTAGAAATATTCGAAGAAGATATGATTGAAGTGAAGTTTTCATTTACAAATTTCTTTCTTTTCTTAGTTGAAAAATCTGTAAATTGGAATAGTCTATCATAATTTAAATTTGCTGAATCGAATGATTAACATTATTTAAGTTTTCATTATTGTTATTCATATCTAGTCTGAATAATAGTACAAAACATATAATTAACGAGTAAAGTCCTTCAACTGACTAATTGCTTTTGAATCGAGTCTATATACATTATATAGCATTCAATGAGCTATAAATACCCTGAAAATAGTTCAGATCCTGGGTGTATCACTGCAGAGATACTACATTTCTATGGTATTTGTTAGTAAAATGGTGTAGACTCACTCAGACTCATCAGAAAAAGTCATTTTCAAATTTTGACTTGAAACTTAGGACAACAATAGACTTTAACAAAAATAGTTTCTTGTGAAAGTTTCAGGTATTTTGATTTATTCCTATTCTGAAATGAGAACATAGAATCTACCAGTGTGTATATGAGCGATATAAAAAGATTGTAGGTTTTCAAAAGAGATACTTTATAAAATAATATACAACTATTAAATGGTTGACGTAGAATATTGCTTTTTATGGTCATTAGATTTCTTCATGGAACTAGCTATTTATAATATAGGGCAATTTAAAATTTTTTTTAGTTATTTAAATGGAGTTAATAACTAAGCAAAAAATGTGAACGACTATTCAATGATTTACATAACTGATTCCTTCTTAATATTATTTGATTTATTGATTTTCGTCATGTTACCAAATATTTAAACCTAGTGATATTAAAATAACCACTTAAAAGTGCTGATAACTTAAACAACATACTGGTGTCTAATGATTTAAACAGTTGATTCGCGCTTGTATGGTGATTTTTACACACTTCTGTTTTTTTATCTGTTTTATTCATTCAATATATCATGTTGTCGATCTTTTTTTTGCCATAGTTGACGTATAAAATTTATTCTCATGGAACAACTTTTTTTGTACTGACATCGAATATATCTGAGATTTTGTTGTTGTGTTACAGTCAAATCTCCTCCTCATAAATTTTATATTTGAATGAGTGTTATCGATTTATTGTTGTTTGTACACTGATTAAAAGAAATATATATTTTTTATGAGAAAGATTCTAATCACTTCGACATTAATCATGAATATTGAAAAATAAAAAAACAACAAATATGTACTACGTATACAATATTTCTTTCTTTTTCTTCTCATTTCATATTATTGAATTCTACGTAAGGCATTACATTAGGAAACATCTTTAAACTTATCTTTTTCAGACTCAATTTAACCATTCAATATTTTATTTTAGCAGTTCTCAAGTGAACTAAGAGAATAATTCCATGATATTCTCTTTTCTTATTCATTTAGTCTTTTCTTTCTTTGCTCAAGAAAAAAACAACCACAATAAATAAGTAGCCAAGTGAATACTTAAATAACTATGAATATTTATTAAATAATACTCGAGATTGAATAGCTGTTCATCGAGGGATTTTCATTTTTAGTGTTCGTTACTCGAAACAAGTCAGTTAGAATAAATAAGTAGCTGAATATTTATTAAATAACGCTAAGAATCTTTAAATCGTGCTTGAGATGAAATAGCTATTCGCTTAGAGAGACTGGCAAGAAATAAATAGCTGATTGTTTATCAAATAGCTACGAATATTTATTAAATAGTGTTGATAATGCTTAAATAGTGCTTGACATTAAATAGCTACCCACCTAAGGATATAGAAAATAAATAAGTAGCTGAATATTTATTATAAGTAAGTATATAGTTACAAAACCCTCTTACACATCTCTATTCGCTGTATTTAACTATCGATTTTCTCTACACAATAATTGTATCTCTTTTGAGAATGAGCCATAAAATGCATGCTTTTATCATAGTTATATCTTGGGATGGAAATAATGAAAAGATCTAAATCCATCATAATAAACCATTCTTATCCAGCTATAAGCCAACAATGCGAACTCTTTTTAAGATAATCATAGCTCATTAGAGTCTACATAATGGACATAGTCATGACTCAAAAGTGATTAATTACTTATTGGACTTTTCTTATAAGCCGGAAAATTTTCTAAACAAACTTCTGATGAAGAAATTCCAATTCCTTGGAAATTCTAACTATACCTTCAATTAAAATAGATACAAGTGGTGTCATTTCACTTTTAACTGTTTGTCGTATACGTAATTGTCCTTCTTCGAGAACATCCGTTACTGATTGTCCCCAAATAATAATACCATTTGATATATATGAGTCGAATTCTTCTTTACTAACACCAAATGCCTTAGAACAAAAAAAAAGAATAACACATTTTCGAATTTAAAAAAAAATCATTTTTCTTGTTCGTACCGGTTTAACGTCATTTTCAAAAGCATGCATAAAATCTGCTCGACAAACTAGTAATTTATCTGCAGCTTCTGGATCAATTTCTACACGTTTACCAGCCTATTAAAACAGAACAAAAACTATCATTAAAAGATTTTCGTTGAGTAAAATTTACTTTAATATGTCTATTCATTGCAAACGACATTGCAGCTCGAACTAAACCTTCAATTTCAGCTCCACTAAAATTTCTTGTTAATTCACTAAATTCTTTTAAATCAACATCTGAATGTAATTTATTATGTTCACGTAAACGAGATGTATGAATATTTAATATTTGTAATCGACCATTTTCATCTGGTAAACCGATTTCAATTTGTACTTCAAGTCGACCAGGTCTTAAAAGTGCTTCATCAATCATATCACGACGATTTGTCATACCAATAACAAGAATATTATTTAATTGATCAACACCATCTATCTTAGATAATAATTGATTAACTACTGTATCATGAACACCAGCACCACTTGCCTATATAAATGAAATTTTTATTATCTCGGCAAAAAAAAAACATTTTCTTTTACTAACCACTGAACCACGAGCTTTGCAAATAGCATCAATTTCATCGAAGATAATAATATGTAAACCACTATTGGGTCCAAGCTAGAAAATAATTTTATATTAAATATTCATCCAAAATATTCCAATTGATTTAATATTTTCTATTCTTTTTTTTGTATTTCATGTTTTAGCTTGATAAATAATATGAATTCTACTGTCAAGACTAGTTTACTACCCATGTTCAAGGGAACAATACCGTAAATTCT